ACAAAGAACCAACCAAAATCTGGTAGTTTCTTGTAAATCATTATCTTGCATGTATAAGAAGAAACACAAAAGATGCCAACTTATCAAAAGAAGTTTAAATAAAAAAAATGTTTTGAAGAATCTAAGTCCCTGTTTCAAATAGGCACTGAGAAGCCTGTTGCTCTTTGAATTTGCTTTTATTAAAACTTACTTCTCCAGTGTCACTCAGATGGGTTTTTTTTAAATGTTATTCCCATATTTTGTGCATTCAACGCAGGAACATATATATATATATATATATATAAATAAAAGGCAAATCTGAACAAGATTTACGGTTGGAATTGTCAGTTGCACCAAGGATATAGTAATCACAGCGCAGAGCCACCCACCCGGTGTTTAGAAGTCATTCTGCAGTCAATGGAGTACACACAAGTTACACAGCAAACATTAGCATGAATTATGTATCTTGTTGTATTCTGTTGGAAGCCATCCAAGATGCAGGCGTATAAATAGTACAGATAATTCATCTTTTTACTGATGACTGTAGAAATAGAAAATATTTTAACTTGGTTGAAAGCATCAAGAAAGCTCTAAAATGAAAAGAGCAGATGTCAAACACAAAGCTTTTAGTTTACTGAGCAATGAGTATGATAAACATTGATTATTCATCTTGATGTTAGAGTTCAAAAACAATTGTCCCTTCAGTTTGCCTCATGGGAGCATGAAATTAGGACCATGTGTGCGTTGATTAACAACATATGAAAGATGAATCGTGATTACTGTTTTGGTCTGGTGCACAAGGCTATGCTTGAGGGGAAGTGATTTCCTACCTCCTTTACCAGATCTCTCTAATTAGTGCTAGCATCTATCTCTGTTTCCTAGGCTTGATGTTAAAGTGGCTGCCTGACAGTGCCTATTCACACGCATACATTGCCTTTATTGAATGAAAGAGTTAAAAATGGTTATTCATAGGACAATTCTGAAATCGCCAGTGCCATCTCTGGCAGGAATTGTCAAATATAAAAAATAGGTGTTACTTTCAAATATGAAACGCTATAAGTTCTAGATTAAAAGGAAGAGGGAAAAGTTCAACAATAAAAATTAAGCAGATTTTTTTTTTATTTCTTTCCGTTGTATTTAATTTATGCCTCTGATGGCAGACATTAGTTAAATTTAACTTTTCTTGGAGGCACGATTAGTTCCTGTGGTTAAAATTTCATTTAAGCTTTATTTCTGGAAATGTAATCCTAACTTTGTCCCTCTGTGCATAGTAATGGGTAGAGAGAGTTGTCGTAAGTGCATTTCATTAATAAGTTGTTACCATAAATGAAGGGTAGGTATTAGAAAAATATAAACAAACAAAAATACAGGTTAGCTTCATGTAATAGTCTTTGACTCTTTAATACTCGTGCTTTTTCATGTTGAAAGATAAATAAAATGGAATGCCTGCACATGCCTTGAACATCCAAATGAGTTATCCATTCCTCGGGGGATGATGTCTATTAGTGTTACTCAGAACTGTGCTGATTTAAGAGATCTTAGGATCTTAACCTTAACTGTCCGAGTTGTTCACGTGGGTCGAGGAACAGATCCAGTGTTGATCTCTGTGATTTGAGGTATGTGACATGGGATGGGAATTCTTTCTGGCTTGCTTGCCCAATACAGATGCAGGATTTGGACCTTAGTTTATCATGTTTTCTGTGGAGTTCCGTGCTTTGAGCTCACATAATGTGAGATTTAATCTTCTTGTGGATAACACCCCCGCCCCTGCTTTTTGACAAACAAGATTATCTGTAATTTAATCTGTGTGCATTTCAACTTTGATTATCTGTTTAAAGATCAGTGGTCTACAGTTTTTCATAAAAGATGCTTTGGCTGTTTTCCTTCCTATGTGTTCCTTCTGCCAGTGTGTATAAAAATAGGTGGACCAAAGAGATTTGATAGACAAAGCTCCAGGCAATGGAGACTTGCTTTCTAGTAAAGTTCAGAATAAATTAAAAGCTGCATGTAAATTCAACAAATGTTAGTGGTTAATTAACTAAGAATGTAGAGCCCTAAGGCCATAGCATTAGTATTTATAGTTTTAAAGTAAGATGTTCTAAACAAGTTGTCTTAGCTGTAAGCCATTTAAATAGCACAGTTGCTTTATGGCTTAAATACAAGGGAATGCTTCCTGGAAGAACAGATTCTTAGAGCAGTAAGTACTTGGAGGATTAATACCAAAGTTCATCACAATCAAATTGTCTGACTAGCTTACCTGTTTTCACTTACAGCTCATATGACAGTTACCTCGTTCGGCACTTTAAGGGGTGACCCTAATTCTCCCCCAAATTACTGCAGCCTTTTTGCACCTTCTGTGCACTTGGGAGCAAAGTCTTACAACCAGTGAAGTTCAGCAGAGTTTGGCTTATGTTATATTTACTTTTTGCATCTACTTTATTAATGATTGTGGTATACTGATTTATACTTCTACTGTTACATGTTTTCTGATGTCACCATAATTCCAGTAGAAATGCAATTAAAGGTGCAGTAAAAAACATTGCTATATTATATTTTTTAAAAAATATAGGATATCTGAAGAATGAAAATACTTGTGCTAATTTTCTGTGGGTGTTGGTGAAATTTATGTCTGAAAACTTGAGCTCTAGCACACAAAAGGAAGACGGGTAACAATTAATTTGATGGTTTATCTGCCTTTATTTACAAATGTAAAAAGTCAAGAGTTTCTTTTGGTTTTTTTTTTTCGTATTTTTTATCAAACACACAATGCCTTTGTTTTGCTGTAGTGGTAAGTTAAATGAGATTTTATATAGCTGAAGAGAAAATGAGTCAGAAAGGAACAGGTATTAATAGAAAAGTTAAGAGTGAAAAAAAAATTGGCGCCTTCCTGTTTCAGGAAACCTTTTTGTGTAACAGCTTGTTTAATGCCAAACTAAATCAAAGTTAAACAAATGAAAAGCCACCTAAGAAGAGAGTGAGATTACAAATTTAACTTCTAACAGTACTATCAAGATCTGCTTTGCTTTCATTCTTTAGGTAGTATTTTACAGGGGGGGTTTTAAAGGTAACTTAACTCATACTTGTCTTTCTTTCTAAACACCTGTCTGACTGTTAAGTGAGATGCCGTCAAAGTTTACACGTGATCCCGACAACATCTGATTACTGTTGGAGTCCTTTTATACTATTAACATCTGTCCTTTATATTGTAGCTGTAAACCCAGATATAATTCCATGTAAAAGGGGAGTATTTTTTTAAAGATAACGGTAACTGTGATGTTACTTGCCTTTCAGGGAATGATATTACTCCCTAAGAGTCAGTGTTACAGTTTTCAACTTTGTGTCTGGTAAGGGTGCGAGTGATGCTACGTTTTGTGTTCCAAAGCCAATTTCGGTGCTTTCTGAAGGGTAAGGTACTGCTGTCTCTGAAGTCCAAAGTTCTTTTGTATAGGTATAGAAGAGACACCAGACTGATAAGCTTGTGTATGTGTCTGGATTCCTCCCTGGGAGAGCGATGGAATGGTTCTCCAGTTAATCCTCAGTTTCTGTGACACTCAGCAAGGATGGCAGTATCTATTTTAATAGTATTTGAGAATAGAAGAGGGTGCCTGATGCAGCATAATGGATTTCTACAGTATCTACTTCTACTGGGAACGTTATGGGATATAATTATCTGAATTATTGCAGTTGGAAGTCCACTGTTTGATTTGTTCTCCTTTAACTATTTGCTGATTTTAGCCAATAATCAATGGCAAGATTGAAATTTAAATTCTCCATCTGTGTTTTTTTTGTCTAACTAAGCTCTTCTCAGCAAGAATTTCTTTAAAATATTTACAATACATGGTAAAATGAGTGAGGCCTCTCACACAAATAAATAGAACAGAAAAGTAATCCAGTGCATAAACCACGTGAGACTCAAAGCACATGGAAATACAAATTCCGCAAGAATGATATCAGGCACAGAAACATAAAGTACATATAAATATATCTGTATAAAATAATTTAATGAAGGGTAGTTGTGGGCACATATCTGGACACCGGGCATTGATGCTCTCTCTGTAGTAAGAGTTTCTCCCATCTACAATTCAGGCGCACTGGTGAACAAAGCCATGGGGTTTTTGTCCTGGCTTATCGTACCTCAGCTTATGTTAAGCTTTGAGTTCTGTGTAGTTCTTGTGAGCATTGAATAATATTGGACTTATGAAAGAAAAGATGACTTGATTATAGATGAATTCTGAGTGTGCTGAAAATTTGGTTAGTTTGCCAAATAGATGAGAGAGTCTTTCAGGCACCTGTTCTGAGGTCGGTAGTGAGATGGGGACTGTCTGGGATGTGATGGGGGCTCTTTGATCAGTTCTTCTACTCTTTTGCTCCTACCTTTAATTTCTTTCCTGAAAATCACCGAGAAAATAGAGCTAAAGTGCTATGATTGTAGCGCTTGACAGTGACATTCCTTCTCTCTGTTTGAACTGCTGATACTCTTGTTCGTGACTGTGGAATTGAGATCAGCTTCTTCAGGCTGGCACTCTCTCTTCTCTTCTCTTGCCTTGTGTTTGCCCTGGAGAATGTAATTTGATTTGTCATTAAACCTTGATTAAAGGTGTGGTTTTTGCATGGGCGGGATTAACCTAGATGGTGCAAGTTGAGAACATCATGTAACTTTCAAAAATAAGCTTCTGTGATTCACAGATGTGATTCTTCTGTGATTGTACTGGGCAAGTCATACTACTTAAGTCACAATTTCATGTTTTCGTGCAAATATTACATTCAGACTTTCATTTTTCTTTTTTTTCCCCACTTCTTTGAGTATTACATTTAGAAAGTTGATGACAGGTGAGCACATGCAGGCGTATGCAATCTGTTCTGTTATTGCCTGCGTTCAGGTTGATGGATGGTGTGCCCAAACAGAAGGAAAAAAATCATGAGTTCTATCATCCTCCAACAAACTATTTACAAAATAAAAATCTACGTAAGTTCAAAGTAGCTTGCTTTATTCAAATTATTTTCTTGACATTTCTCTACAGGGGCTGTCATCAGTCACCAAGAACAGTGGACTACTCAATATCACCTTTAAATATGACAGTAAGTTGAAATTTTGCACTGTATTCACAAAAATCAAGGACTCCATCACAGTTGTCAATATATAGCAAGATGTCTCTTAAAAATGGCTCTAAGAATAGCATGAGCTCTTTAGTATTGACATAATTTTAAAATCTAGATTTCTTTCTGCTGGGTCTGGTGGATCTTCTCTTTCCTGTGTTTCACTGATAATAAAACAATCTAATAATTTGTAGTAGTTTCGCTTCCAGATTGGCCTACATAATCTGCCCAGTATTTGGCTGGAAAATCGTAGAGAATGATTTTATTCTGAAAGGTTCACTACACAAAGTCATAGGAAAGGATTATTTCAAGCTTTATACATCTTTTCTCTGATGTGTGATTTTGGGGGAAAGTAGTGTAAAGTGTGTCTCAAAGTAGGAAACGTGTAGTTTGTATACAGGGAATATATTAAAAATCTGTCTTTGCAAGGATTAATATTGAATATGAATATTGAAGATGAATAGTGTCTCTTCATCTAGTGGAAGTAGTTGGAACTTTTCATTAGCTACAGTGTGAAAGGACCAGGTTAGTGGAAAACTGCTGTCTACATTTTCGGTGGAGACGGATGGTTTTAGTGCTGTAGCAGATGTGGTCTGTTTTGCAGCTAAACTAAGAAGAAAGTAATCTTTGGCATAACAACAGTAATAAGCAGGTTGCAGCAATAATACTTCAGACCTCTTCAAATGTCTGCTGAATGGCCGTATGTTATTGTTTTCATTTTTTTTAAAGGTTTTTGTTGTCTGTGTTTAGTCAGTAAAGTATGACTATGGACTACGTTGGGAATTTATCCTTATTTGGGCAGTTAGTGGCTATCATCGATATAAACTCAGTGTACAGTCAAGAGAAGGTCCTAATTTACAGCAGTAACGTTGGTAGTAATGCCAGTGCAAGTCACAGGTTGGTTTTCTTGCCTCCCCAAAGAAATTACCTCAGATGCTGATGGTGGGTAAAATTCCATCATTGAGAGCGTGTATCAGCAAACCTAACAATAGTGCTTTTATTTCATTCTCATCATCCTTTTGTTCCTCTATTTTTAGGGTAACTTCTGAATTTGCAGTCCTTCACTGTGAATTTTTTTAATCTAATTTGATGTTAATATTTAAAATGAGCAAAATTGAAGTATGTCAGGTTGTACAAGAGGTAAATGGTCGCTGCAAAAGAGTTACGATTTTTTTTATCTACATAAAGGAAAACAGGAACTAATATCAGTCAGAACAGAGATCCCCACGTTTAGCTGGCACAGTGGAGCCTGTTTAAGTCCCAGTATCTGTCATGGTTTTTGCATTAATTCTGACAGCAGGAACTGTGTTTAACCAATGACAAGTGTTAATTCAAAATTCTGCTGGCACTGCATGCCTCCTGGACAAAGGAGTTACTGGAGTTCTGCAGTACTAGCAAAAGAGTTCCCCGATATCAAGGCTAAAGAGTTCATGTAATATGGAGATACATACTTACTGTGAATAAGTGAGCACAAATGCGAATTTGCCTTGCTGGCTCTGATTTAAAGGCTTTTATTTTGCCACGCAGCAGCTCTAGCGAGCTGTATTTTATGTTGTTGAATTAGTTGGTTAGATTATTTATTCGGGTGAAAACCAAATGTTTGTATGTTTTAGTATTTCACTTGTATTCAACTAAAAGAAGTGGTTTCCTGAAAAGTGCTATTTTTCTCTGCTGTTTTCTTCCTAAAGCTGTTGTTCTTTAAAAATGTAAATCAGTGACTCACAGTCAAACTTAAGACATTTGTGCTATATTCCATTTTGGCAAATTGTCATTTGACCATAAAATTTTAGTAACCAGGATCCAAAATCTTGGGCTTGCTATTAATTAGATCCAGACCTAGCAAAAAACCGTTACTTCAAACTTTCCATTGAAAGAGATACTCTATTCTCCTAAGAGGAAGTTCATGCTGTCATGGAGTTCACTCGTAGCAACAGAATTCCGCAAACAGCAGAGTAAGTACCAACTGCCCAGCTTTTGTAAAAGGCAATGTTGTACAAACAGTTCTGTTCTTATTTGCCTGGCAGTTACATAAAAGACCCCTTACCATTGTTACTCGTATTAAAAAGCCATTTTCTAAAACCGCTTTTCAGTTAATCATTTTACATTCCTTGCCTTTAAGATCACACCTCTGAAATAAATTTGAATTTCCTGCATTGGCTTATCATAACACTTGATTTTTCATGTTTCATTTCTACAAACTCAGTATAGACAAATACGTAGCATATAGATTATCTTATTTTTTTAGACCTAATCATCGGTCAGTCATACATGGTCTACCGGTCAACTTTTTCTGGATTTTGTTAGCTGTACTAGTTCAAAAGCAGAATGTTTGTGCGTACACGCCTTCACGCATACCGTGCTCCACAACTATTGAATTCTCTGGCCGCTACTTCTCTTCCTGCCACAAAACACGAGCCTAAACATTGTGAGGCTTTAAAAGTAATAAAATTTGGGGTTATTTGTTTTCATGTTTTGAATGCATAAAGACAAGGTCAAGTTCAACAACAAAGTCAAGAATGTTTCTCGTACATTTTATTTTCTTAATGAAAGCTGAGGTTTTCTGTAATCACGTTTGCGGAGCTGTAACTTTAGGGAATACACTGTATTTTGTGAGGATAACAAGACAAAACCAATTCTGACTGAATCCAGTGGCAGGAAAATGGTCTACGGGGATGTGGCTACTGAACAGATGACAGAGATGGGATGGATTTAGGCAGTAGGTTCTTTGTGGTCGGGATCAAGCAGTATCGTGGTTAAAAAGCCCTTCTTGAGCACCAGTCCTAAAGCTTCACATTGTTTATTGTTCTCATCCGTGCCTGATCAGTGACCAACATCCTCTTGCTCTAAGCACTGTACATGCACAAAATTAATGTCAGTCCTCATATGCTTTTGAGTAATCGGTGAGGAAAAGTTGTTCTCTTTTGGGAGTCCCAACATGTGTCGTTTTTGCTCTGTGTGGTACAGGCTACACTGGTATTATAAACTGGTAATTTCCTTTGGGGTCTTGTGAACTAGGGTTTTGCAGCTGGTGAAAGTGGTTGTGCTCAATGGTTTTTTTCAGTGTCCTGAGACACAAGCTTCCTCTAGATTTACTATACGGTACATATTTTTTATAGAATAAATAGTGCACATGTACTTTTACTTTGCACAATCTTTATGAAATGTTAGGAAATTACCGTAATTCTTTACGTGGAAAGATGCGGGTCACGTTGGAAACTGGTTGCTTGAATAGATCTTTAAGATGAGGTGCTGCTGGTAGATGATTTCCTTGCTCTGGTATGGCGCAAGAATGCCAGCTAGAATGTTTTTCTTAAAGCGTTTATTTCTCCATATTTTTAGACTGCACGCCTTATCTGAATTCAGTGGGAAGACACGTCATTGGAGATGTGCAGAATATAACTATCAGTCAGTATGCATGTTATGAACAGGTTGCAGTGACGATACTTTGGACAGCAAATGCCATCGGTAAGTAGTCGAGGGAAATGGACTAGTTCATCGTGTCTTCGGTAATAACTTCTTGCTGATTGGTATTAAGTAAAATAACTACATTATGCTTGGAATCTTTGAAGCAAACTGCCTAAGAAGAAAGAAAATCTTAACAGCTTGGCAAAGCTGCTATTTTTGCTAGCTCACTTGAAATACCCTTAAAACTAGGATGCTCTCTGCAGCCATATGCTGCTGTTTACTATTCCAGTTCGTTGCATTTTTCCTGCTCTTCAGAACTGCGTAATAGCCCTGATCTCATTGTCTGCCCCAAGGCATTGGTGCATTTCGGTGGCATTGATTGAGTTGAATTGCCAATACACTTAAATATTCTTTAGGATGCAGATCGTCTTACAGGTGGACAACATTATTTAATCATAGCTACAAACTTTAACATGTTTCCTTGTCAGGTCTGGTCACTAGGAATACTCCTCAATCACTTAAATGTCACTGGAAGTACCTCGTTGCCCACTGGAGCAGGAGTCCCTGAAGTGGGGGGTGCGCAAGATGACCCACTGGGGCACGCGAAGAAAATTTTAGAACTTCTATTTACATATGTTTTAAATCTTGAAAAGAAAAACTAAGCTTTACTAATATTTAGTATAGGGATTGACACTGGCACCCTTGCTCGGGCTGTATGTCAGGTGTTCGTGTTTCACATGTGGTACGTGAGGTATGCGGAAGGAAGAGTGGGTGTTGTCCAGCGTGGAGGGGTTCACAGCGGCACCCTCGCTTCCGTTTGCTTTCAGCGTATTGTGGCGTATTGCAGTGTGTGTGCGTGCCAGGTTAGGTGGATTTACTGATTATATTCTCTCATTTTAACTAAACTAACCATCATGATGAAATGGACAAGTGGCTTAAGGTAGTTGAAGGTAATACTAATAATGCGAGGACACGCGAACAACAAGAAAATAGTAGAGCTGACAGTTCCCCTGTTCCTAGTACAGGCTCTTCACCAGCCATGTTAGAAGGTAAAAACATTCACTATCTCATCAGTTCTGATAAAAAGTTGGCCAAAATTATCGAGAGTATTTGAAATACGGATTTACACCTGCCATTGTTAATGGTGAACCTTGCCCGAAGCGTATCGTGTGCCTTGAGATACTAGTTGATCCTGTGAAGCCATCATGATTAGCAAGACATTTGAAAACTAAGCATCTGGAACATGAAGTCAAACCTCTGCAATTTTTTCAGCAATGCTTGAAGCCATGCAATACTAAATAAAGTACAAAATTTCACTGAACCTAGTGATAAATCTTTAGAAGCCTCTTTTTGTGAAATCTCCTTCGAGATTTCTTACTCAATGGTGAAAGACAAAAAGCCACGTACTGCTGGGGAAACTAAATGTTTGTTCTTCCTGCCACAGTAAAACTGGCTGAAATAATACAGGGAAAAACTGGAATGAAAAAAAGGATTCTGGCATAAAGTTCCAGAGATAGCACCACCAGTGAAATTCAGTCATTGCACCGTTCATAGGGAAACTATTGCAGCAACGAAGTTGGAGCCAGAAGCGCACAGGATGTCATCAGTGTGGTTAGTTTTATAGAAACAAGACATCTAAATAGTAGAATCTTAACAATACTTTGTAATGAAATGGGGAATGACCATGAAAATCTTTTGTGCCAGAGAGAGGTTCACTGGTTATCTCGTGGCGAAGTGCTTAAGAGCTGTCAAACTCAAGTCTTTGAGTTAAGCGTTCTGCTTTCACCACCAGACAAGTGTTCCACATTTGCTGACCTTTTCTGGGATGGCAGGTGGCTCTCAGTAGTATGCGACCTAGCAGACATTTAACAAAACCAAACTAAACCACACTTCATGTGTCTCTTCAAGGTAAAGGTGACATTTTGGCTATGACTGAGAGAGTAACTGCTTTTCAAAAGAAACTCATGCTATGGAAAGAGGGTTTTGAAAATGGGTGTTTGGAAATGTTTGTTATTTGATTTTGTTGCTGAAAACAATGCCAGCTTCTCACCTATAAAAGCTCTCGTATTTTTTACACTTAAAAAATCAGGAAACAGAATTTCCTAGCCTGTTTAAAAATCTTCTGAATGCAGAGTTTCAGTGGGTTTTGAACCCATTTGTTAAAAATATAAAAATGCAACACATCCTGATTTGTTTGCAAGAACAACTGACATCAGGCAAGACAGAAGTTTACTAGCCAAATTTCAAGAAAAACCTTTGCATAATTAGAGGATGGAAGTGAAAAACGAGTGTCATGGTTTAGTAAATGCAGCCAGTGATGCAGGTGCTCCATTTGGATCCATGTAGCTTTGTGAGGTTGTTTTTTCAGCTATGACAGCCATTAAAACCAAGTAACGAAATAAACTGAGCTTAGAACCAGACCTTCGAATTGCCATATCACAAAGTATTAAACCAAGATTTAAAAAAACAATGAAGCCTATTCAATCACATAACTCTCACTCAAAAATATTATTAATATTTTAAAGTGGGAACAAAAAAGTTTTTTGTATCACTAATAGAATAAAAATTATTTTAAAAATAGTTTTTAATCTTCATCTCGTGCTTTTTTAAATTTGTTTTTTGTGTATATTTTATAATGTAAATATAAATACATATATATTAGCACAGTAGTACATATGTATATTTTATAAATATACTGGGGGTTGGTGCTCAAAATTTTTTTGTTGATAGGAGTGCATGATCAACAAAATCTGGAGACCAGTGCACTATAGTGCACTCTCTCTGTAGCAACACCTGCTCATAATTTCTCTTTCTTCACGCTAACTAAGGTCCTAAATAAAGTAACTTAATATAAATTCATTTTTTTTAGTCACTGGTGTTTAGCAAACGAAAGAGGGGGAGTTTCCTTCTTGAACATTTTTAACACTTCATTAAAGAATTTTAACTGCAAAGGTGCTTTTCCATATCAATGAAATAATTAGAGTTAAGCACAATACAGTTTTCAAAATTAAAACAGAAATTAGTATGTTTTTTTTTTTTCATGTTCTTTTACTCATACAGCAGAGTCTCAACTTGATATTTCATGGTTCATACTCCCTGAAAAAGCTTTTAAATCAGGTTTTTCTTATGAGTTAGTAAGAGCTGGAAGTTCCCACTTATGTGGTAGGATTGCATCCTAAATGATGAGATATGGCTAATAATGCAAATGTGTCTTTATTAAACTTGATATAAACTTTTTAGCCTAGACCTGCATTTATTAAATCAAACACTTTTAGATAAGAAAAACTGTCAAGTTTTTGTTGCCTCCCAATTTCATAATTTTTTTTTTTTTTTAATTGAAGAAATAATGCATTTCTGGGGTTTAAAAGACTATATGAAAATTACACTTACTTCTGCAAAACTGTGCAGTTGAAAGCGTTTGGTAATCTTCAGCTGCAGCCTGGATGAATCAAATCTCTACGGGAAACAAAGCTTGGTGTTCTGTCTTGCAATGATCAGAGGTTAATCCTTTGGAAAGCGTGAGGACAGAACTGCCGCCGAAGCATCTCGGGTAACGTGGAGGCTGGACACTTTCTCTTTCATGGTCTTCATGTAAGCACAAGTAGGGCTTTTGTTCCATGGAATATTAAGAACACATTGGGCAACTCATGGTCTTTATCTTCTACAGGATTATAAAACATTAAAAAAACCCCACAAAACCATGGAGACTAGTGAAACAGAGGAGGTCCATGGAAAATCATACATTTGGCTTTTTTTTTTTTTTTTTAATTTGACAAGCATAGCATAAACTCAAATTAATCCCTTTGGATTTATGTAGCATTTACCTTACAAAGGCTGTGCCTGTGTCTTTGATAAATACGTATTCTGCTGTATGTAATGCTGTTGAAAATCTGTAATTGGATGGAGTAGTGGTAGTTAGTCTTGAAGACCTGTGCAGTGACTTCGGTACCTGAGCCACAGAACGATCCCGGGGTAATGCTCTGCCCCTGTCCTGTGACATTCGCATCACCGGGACTCAGTTTAGTCGTGTAGCGAAGTAATTCCACGATGACAAAATTGCAAAGAAATGTAAGACACTGTGCTGAGAGTTAGTTGTGTTAGAGTAACCTGAAAAAAATGGGTGTAGTTCTGGCAGCAGTCAGAAATAACTGGAAGTGTTCACTCACTGGAACAAATTCCATTCCATTTAAGTCAAGTTTTCTGTTATCCCGTACTATACTAGAATTAAAGAAGTTGTAACAACCGCTATCACTTTAATCTGGTAGTCTCAGAAGTGCTAGGAAGATGTTATAAAGGGGTATTTCTATGATTTGCTAGCAGAATGTTGTATTTCATTGCTAATAATGGAAATGTGAAGTTACTATAAAGTATTCCTGAGGGTGATGAAGGTAATGATAACGTAGAGTGCAGTGATAATTTGGAAGCCCCAGCTGCGACGTGGGCCCCTCTGCTCCAAGCGTTACACAAGTATGTAGTAATTGCAGCTTTTGCCAAAGACTAAATTCTAAATAGGCAAGACAGAAAATGCGGGAAGAACTGACATGCAACAACAGGTATTGAAACACAAACATATTTCATATGAATGGTAAGTTTTATTTTTAAAGACAAATGAAATATATTCAAATTATATAAAATACCACATTATTCATTTTGAAGTATTAGTCTTCTATTTAAATGCCCTACTGTTTGCAGGGATTGAATACCTGAAAGGATTTCGAGTAATACTTGAGGAGTTAAAATCAGAGGGAAGACAATGCCAGCAGATGGGTTTAAAAGATCCAAAGCAGCTCAGCCCCAGTTTTAAACGAACAGTAAGTGCTTTGTTTCAAGAAAAGTTTCCTTGTTGCTTGATTGTATGAGTAGTCTTGAAAGTGTCTATATGCTGCATATAAATGAAATGTATCTCTGTCTAAATATATATACAGTGTGCTGTTTACTAGGATGCAGGTTGCTTCCTAAAAGTAGTATTCTTCAAACTAAGGGTCATCGTTGAGCTAGAGACAGATCTATTCGCCTTCTGCAGAAGCTTTCCTGAAGCTGGAAGCTCTCATTGGGTGACTCGGGAGTACGGGTGCACATCTGTAATAGCCCCCATCCAGCTCTGTACTGAGATTCCTCACGTCAGTGTGTCATGGAGGGGCAGATAAAGGATTCTTAATGTATTAATTTCTGCTTACGTGCACAAAACTGGGGGCCTGTTTTGAAAGATACTTTCAGTTATAGTAGTTGATCTTAAAATATGTTGCAATCTTGTCTTTTTGTAGGGAATGGAATCCCAGCCCTTTGTAAATTTGAAGTTTGAAACAGATTACTTTGTAAAGATTGTTCCTTTTCCTTCCATTAAAAACGAAAGTAATTATCACCCATTTTTCTTCCGAACTAGACGTAAGTATTGCATACAGTGTAGTACTGCATATCATCTCTTCACCAATGGGCGCCACCCCCCGGCTTTGTAGTTTTCCCAACAAAGGAATGTAGTAGATGATGATGTTAGATGAGTCTGGGTTAAGATAGTTACTGGCATAATCTTTGAAGGAGGTTCGGGATGTTAAGTGGAAAGAATTTGGACGCCACAGATAAATCTGTGGTGTATGATACTACGTGTTAGGCAACAACCAGAAGAAAAGTCTCAGGTAGGCCTGAGATTATCCCCGGTTTGCCTATAGCAGGATTACTGCCATGGTTCTCAGGAACATTTGACTCAGGAAGATGGTTTGCTCCTTCTCCTCTCTGGACATTGTGAAGAAGCTCAGGTTGGTTTTGTTTTTGAGATCACAGTTTCAAAAACAGATATCTAGAGAGAGAGATAGATGAGTGCATATAAAATTAGGTAGCAACAAATCGAGTTGAATTTCTCAAAACTACATAGCAGTTCTCATTGGAGTCACAGAGGAGAAACTTGAATAAGCTCCTCAGTGCTTAAATGGTATGATGAGAAACTGCAAGTACCCTTTGGGATGAAATGTTGATATTTGTCCTGCTTAGGTTTTTTTGCCCTATGAAACTTTTCTTAAAATATTTCCAAGTCTGTCTGTTGCTGCAAACTACAGTAACATTTGTCTTTGTAATAGTTCTCGGCATACTTATTTACTCTGAGTAAATGTCTTTAAGGCTAGTTTCAGCTTCCTCTCCTGCTGTGCTGTGCCTGATGCTATCCCTTTTGTCTCCCTAAGGAATGCTATTTTCAAATTAATGAACCTGTGTTTCTCATGTAGAGATGAGAAGGGACTTGAAATCATAACAAAGAAGCTAAGTTTGCAAAATATAGTTACTCCAGGCATATTAGAGACTGGGAAAGAAATGGGGGTATTGTCTTCAAAATGATGAGCTCCCTTCTTTTGCCCTTGTTCTTTTTCTATTTAAATAGCATAGCATTTTGATACTGTATCATTAATAATTTTTGTGTGTATTTGCAGCATGCGAATTGTTGCTACAGCCGGAAAACCTTGTCTGCAAACCCTGTAAGTAAAATGTAGTACTTTCTGCATATTCCTCTTACAAAAAGTTACTGTACTTGAAGAGTCACTTTTTTCCAATTCATGAATATCTCCTCTGACAGACTGGAAGCCAAGGAATCTGAACGTTACCCAGCAGGGTTTTAACATGCAAGTGTCCTTTGACCATGCACCTCACAACTTTGGGTTCAGATATTACTTTCTTCACTACAAACTTAAGCACGAAGGGCCATTTAAGCAAAAGACCTGCAAACAGGTACGTCGCTGAGTTTGCAACTCTTAAAAGCACAAAACCTATTAATATTAGATGTTCTAAGGCTTTATAGAAACTTTATAAACTTAATATAATATAGAATACTATCAATTTTAAAATTTTTAAACTATTTGGTACTCTTTATGTAAATGATAATTGTATTGTGATAGCACTCATCAGCCAAAACCAGGCACGAGGGCTCCATTGGAGCTGGATAGTATAAGCAAATGGGAAGAGACTGTTGTCTCTCTTGAAGACCCTACAACTAATGAGCACTTCAAACTGTAGTTTTATTATGTTTGTTATACATATTATTTCCTACTTTTTTTGTTTCACCTTTGCACCAAATTTGACCGCTTTATAGATGACCCATCTGAGATGGTACCACAAGGTAGCTCTCATTTTAGTACGTGCATGGAATTGGGTTGTCTGTGATTTTGTACAGCTGTGTGCCTAAGTCTTATTTATGGGAGCTGCCATTTGCTGTAGTATTGTCCTTAACTGTGGTTAGTATTCAGTAGCAAGTTTGTTCTCGCTGGGAGCTAGGGAGCTTCAGGGCACAATGCAGAGTTTATGTATTAGACCGAACTGTTAAGATTTTTTTGGATAATTAATCCTATTTTAATTCTGCAGGCAGAGGATTATAGTCCTTGCATATTTGAATGGAGAGACTTAGTTTTGCTGGTTTAAGGTGTCTTAATACAGGAGGGCACTGTATATTTCTAAATCAATGCAAATGTATTTTTTTATTAGGTTTTAAAAGTATGTGAATGGCTTGCAAAGTATTCTCTTTCTTTGATGTAGGAGCAAAACACAGATACTACAAGCTGTATTCTTCAGAATGTATCTCCAGGGGATTATATAATTGAGGTAATATTGATAAATAGTCATATGTACAACAGCTAAATGAGTATGTTAATGGAGGAATTAACTGTCATTAAAGTATTTCCAGTCACTTTTTGGTAAAATTGGACTTCAGGCATCCCTACTGAATTACCTTGGGCAAGAAAAATTTTTTAAACAGATTGTTCTTCACCTTTCCATAGCTTTGCTTCCCCGAGTGCATGGCATTTTCATCTGTGCCTTCAAGTAAAGTTGTGGGTCTGCATAATTCTTGGACTTTTTTTTGATTGGAATTCTGTAGTTTGGTCAATTTTTACTATACTTGAAAAGTGGGTATTTCTTTTGGTGATGACAGTATGTGAACTCTGAAAGTTAATGTTACAACATCAAACTATGTACTAACAAAGATGAATGATTCCACTAATTACGAGATTGTGGTGCTCTGTAATTTTAAATTTTGAACAGTAAGTTTCTTCACATTTGGTCATGAAAGCTGTTATAGTTGTTTACATATTGCAGAAAATAAGTAAAATTAAATTTCCACAAAATAAAATTCAACTTTTACTTTTCAAAGCTGGTTGATGACACTAATACAACAAGGAAAACAATGCACTATGCGCTAAAACCAGGTAAGAACTTTGCTTTTTAAACAGTATACAGTATTTACCTTATTAATTTTAATTAGGTTTTAATTCTGTTGGAAATAAATCTTGATTTGACCTGTGTCTGTTTGCCGTAATCAAGACTACTGAGGCAATTGTGCTGTGATCTTTTGACCTAATGAAAAAAGAGTAGACATGCACACTCGTACATACACATCTGCATCTCTGTACATTTATATTTAGTACAGTTTAGATCAATATATCATTGGAAATCTTTGTGGGAAAGTGACTTTTGTTGTATATATGGATATGAAGAATCATAGCCTGTGTCTTAATTGCGTGCAACTGATGCATGCAGTAGTGTGGAAACAACGTGATGAAACTGTGAGAGCTGCCTGTGTACTTCAGCCCTGAAATGAAATTAAGCAGTCTGGAAAACCTGTCAGGTGAATGCTTAGCACGTCTATGTTTCAGACCGGTCACTGAGAAGCTAAATAGGGATTGCAGAATGTAACTGCAAACACAAAACATAGCTGCAGATGAAGGCAACGGGTGAAACGGACTGAATCCTAATGCACGTTGCTAAAGGTAATCTGTGCGGGAAGACAGTTCTTTCTAAGTGGCTAGTTCAGCACCCTGGAATAAAAATCTGACAGGTCCAAATGACTACTGCATATCTTATCAAAACTACACTTTGTGTAGAGTTGTTCTCACAGGGGGAGGTATGAGTTGGCATACAGCACTTGGTACTTATGTTAGTTGCTCTAATGCTGTGGTGATGGGGGCAATCAGCATAAAACCTATTTAAAATGGAGCAGAACATGATGTTTGATTCTACTGTATATTTGAGAATTACCTGATAATAGTGTATTGCAGCAGTTTTACATTCCCAGCGTGAAGATTTGGTTAGATAATTATAGTATAGCTTATTTGCATATGACTAATTCTGCTTTATTTTTCAAAGTACATTCTCCGTGGGCTGGACCGATAAGAGCTATTGCCATTACAGTCCCTTTAGTTGTCATTTCAGCATTTGCAACGCTTTTCACAGTGATGTGCCGCAAGAAACAGCAAGGTAAGAGGGTTTATTCAATACAGAGTTCCATTTAAAGATGCACTTTTGCAACCAAAAAAGTCTTAACTGGTAGGTTTATTCCAGAAATACTTTTTATCTGAAGAGCTTTCTTTTCTTTTCTACCTCTCTCTCCTTCCTCCCCAGAGCTTTTTTGTGTGTTGAAACTTGTAGCAAATTCCTAATCAGTGCTTGATGGGAATTTGTTGCCATAGAAAGTATTGTATCACAAATCAAGACTTCACTGTAGAAAGGAGAGAACAAAAGACCTGTTGGGAAATATTTTTGGTTTTGAGTTTCTTTTTATTTGTGAAAGTACTGCGTGACCATGTAGAATACAAACGGATCTGTAAATGGATATATTTTAAACATTCCCTTCTTTCATTCAGAAATGTCTAAGTCATATTTATTTTAAACCAGAAGGAAAGTAAAGGCATGCGATTCCAATGCAATTCTCAGCGCTGTCTGGAATACTACCTGTATCTATTATTCCAGATTTGCTCACTTTCCTGGAAGTTGCCTTTATACTTCATCCGAAGCCATCTTCCTAAATTTACTCTTTCGAAGACGTACTTGCAGATGTTTCTCTAAATTAGATTCCATCCCTCTTTGCTGACTTCTCTCTCCTCTGTGTCCAGGAGCTGGCAAGACACACTTGTTACATTGAGATATTAAAAATCAATTGGCATTTTTTGTAGTATCTAGGGAATCGTGGTTTCATGAATATGGAAAAAGAGATTACCTCCCCAAACCTCACATATCTGTGTTATCCATCTGAATTTTGGCATTGAGGTACACTGCAAGTGCTATATGGTATCTGGGCTAAATCCTTTTACCTTCTGGACTTCTGTGGCTATCCCTTTGCTCACAGCTAGCACAGTTCCAACAAAAAACCCAGACAAATCACTAAGGATTTGTCTACAGAGAGAGTTGTTCCAGAATAGTTATTCCTGATGAATTGTTCTAAATTAAATCCCTAGATGGATATTTGTATTTTGAAATACTCATGCTTTATTCCAAATTAGCTTAATCAACTGTGGAACTAGATTGAATTAGTCTGGCGTAAGACCAGACTTTTATGTTCCAGCATAAAAGCATCTATGCAAGGAAAGAAACGCTAATAGCTATTTTGAAATAAATTAATCATATCTTAATTCAAATTAATGTCAAATTAATGTCCAAACGTGTGTGTGTGTATATATATATATATATACCAGAGAGATACTGTATGATATTCTGAAGGGATTTGTGTTCCTGAAGTTTAACATTCTTACCTGGCTTGTGTCGTGTTTTTTTAAAAACAAGAGGCACTGTTACACAGGAAACTCTTGATGATGATACATTTTTAAGGTTTACAATATTCGAACAGAGAGGTAAAGACTTTTGGAGCTGGATAGAGGTGAAACAACCTCATTCTATTTATAAAATAAACCTTTCTTGAGTTTACTGAGTTGTACAGTAATAACTGCACATTTCACTTTCAAAGTGTGTTCCACATATGTAGCAAGTCATAAGCTGGATAAATAGAGCACGTGCAACTTTCGTATTCAGGCTGGAAAGGAAAAAGTCTTTTGAAAAAAGTCATTACTGTATGCATTGGTAATGAGCCTGCAAAAGTTTAAAAAAAAAAATCCCAAAACAACCAAGCTTTGTAGTGTGAACTCTCTTTCTCTCTTCCAATTTAGAAAATATATATTCCCATCTTGATGAGGAGAGCTCAGAATCTTCAGCATATGCTGCAGGTCTCCATGTGGAAAGACTTCGTCCCCGGCCAAAAGTGTTCATCTGCTATTCCAGTAAAGATTGCCAGAAACACGTTAACGTCATCCAATGCTTTGCTTATTTTCTTCAGGACTTTTGTGGCTGTGAGGTAAACTCAACATTTCTTCTGTAAACACAGTTTCCCTAATTGAAACAGCACCCCCAAAACTCATAATAATATGTGCTCGAAAATGGAATATTTCGGGCTCTCCTTTCCAAAGAGATAACTTCTGTTATTTTTCTAAATATGGGCTATATAGATTTTCCTTCTTTAGGGAAAGGAACAGATCATAGCCCGTGTGAAAAAACAGCGTAGTGGAAAATGTGTACTGCATTGATTCAGGGGCTTTCGTTCAGCTGGTTTTAGCTTGTTTCATATTAACTGCTTTTTCTGTTTAGTAGGGCTTGCATCTTTATGGTTGGCAGCCATAAAGAGGTATTAGTGTCTACATGATATACGTCACTATTCCTAAAGTACATTTTATATTGTAACTTTAAAGTAGTTGAATTTATCAAAACTCCTACTCATAGAGCAAAGTCTGTGTAATTACGATTAATTGTTGACATTATGTATTAATTTTTATTGTTTTTTATTTCTTCTGTTCCATTAACACTGTAAAATGGGCATGTCTTTTCCTTGGTTTTGATTTAAAGTTATGAGAAAGCTTCGTTACTTTGAACGACTAGGCTTAGAATCTCAGGCTACTTTCTAAAATATAATCAATACGTGGCCAGTCTTTCATTTTTCAACTGTAAAAAGGCAAGATAATTGTTAGTCTATTTTTGCTGCATTTTAATATTGCTGCTGTGACTTTACATGTATGAACTGGAGCTGTTTTTTCAACTGTACAGCAAGTCTGGCCTCCAGTGGCCAAACACAGTAACACAACCGATGCCTCTCATATTTGGGGATGTTCACAACTTACTCATATGTTTACAATAGTTCAGGTAAGGTGTTTTATAAGAACTTAATTGATTCCCCTTTTCAGAGATGTACTTTAGCCCTGCTACACCATACGTCTTTGGCACAGCGTTACGGTGAGCTGCTACCGCTATAACTATGTACCATGTCTTGTGGTTTAATCCCAGACAGCAGCTGAGCACCAGACAGCCGCTCGCTCACCCTGCCTCCCCCGCGGTGGGATGGGGCGAGAAGCAGGGAAAAAAGTAAAATGCGCGGGTTGAGATAAAGACCTTTTAATAGGACAGCAGAGGAATTAATAATAATGATGACGATAAAAGAATATACAAAACAAGTGATGCACAATACAATTGCTCAGCACCCGTTGACTGATGCCCAGCCCATCCCCGAGCAGTGATCGCTGCCCCCCGGCCAGTTCCCCCAGTTCCTATACTGGGCACGACGCCATAGGGTATGGGACAGCCCTTGGGCCCGTCGGGGTCAGCCCCCCTGGCTGTGCCCCCTCCCGGCTCCTTGTGCACCGGACGGAGCATGGGAAGCTGAAAGGCCCTTGACTGGTGTAAGCCCTGCTTAGCAACAACTAAACCATCAGTGTGTTGCCAACATTATTCTCATCCTAAATCCAAACCACAGCGCTGTACCAGCGCTAGGAAGAAAATTAACCCTATCCCAGCTGAAGCCAGGACACCATGGAACATACGGTATCAGGCATCATTTAAGATTTATATAACAAAATATTGATAGCATCTACATACAGAAATAATATATGTTGTTGTGAAAAGTCTGGAGTTTAATATAAAAATAGATGCTCAGTGCATAATGGAACAGTCGCACAAGTATTTTTCATATGGAATTGGAATGTTTTCTCAGAAAGGACAAAACCGTTTTGGTTGAAATGGCATTTAATAACTTGACCATACTAAAAATCCTTTCTCACAGATAGGAGATCAGACGGTATTTTGAAGAACAGAAACAAAAACAGGCAGAAAAGAAAAACTACCTGCATCGTACCTTTATCAGAGTATCTCCCAAGCAGCTGTAAAATGACTTCTCTTCCCCATGCATAGAATAGACGAGTTCAGTTGGAAGGGACCCGCAGTGAGGATGGAGTCCAGCGGCCTGGCCGCTTCAGGCACGATCACGTTCTTCCTGTAGCTGGCCGGGTGGTAACAGTTTTCATGAGTCCTTGTGTCCTAGGCATCCCACCTACTCCCTGCCTTCTGACAGGGCCAAGTTTTTCACTCTGTTATGGTTGATACAGCACAGCAAAAATACTTTGCTCTCTGGAAAAATGCTTGAGAGAAGATTATAAATGGTTTTGATTTGTGTCTATTATGCAAGTTTTTTTGCATCTGTTTTTTTCTGTTATTCTAATGCTCATTCTTTCTTTCATGAGATAAAGCATCGTGTCCTTCATCTTGGTGTACACAGGCATTTCAGACCATGTAGAATGTTCAGAAAATTTGACAAAGTAGAAAATAAAACAACTTGTATGATAAAATTGTCAGAGCTTTCTTATCAGAGATAAGCTGCTGCTGTTTTGCGTCTTAACTGAAAGGACTCGATGTTATAGGCACTAACTATGTTCCTGTCTAGATATGAAAATTCTTGGCATTGGACTTCATTAATATGCAAAAGATGATAAATGGATTTCCATTACATTCAGCAGATTAAGGACCCAAATATACAACAGTTAAATTGTCTGAGGCAGGCACAATACATTTTTTATTGTGGATTGATGATATCTAGTTTGATCAGATAAGTAAATAGCAGTTTACTTGGTCCAGCCACATTTTCTATGTTCTTTTTATTCCCTGAGAAATATTGCTATGTACCAAATTCATAGTGGTTTTATTTTTTAAGGAACTACCCAGTTTACATTCAGCTACTTGGCTTTGCACTGTTACTTGTTGATTCCATAAATTTATACGTAACGCAGGTATAATTAGGTATGTTTTTCTTTAAGTAATAAAGAAGCAGCAAAATGGATTCATACAGTAACTAGCATTCTTGTTTTTTAAAAAAAAGCCTGGAAGGTTTTCCTCTTTACCGTAGCAACTCACCCACGTCCTCCGCCCAGTGAAATATTCAGCCCACGAGCAAAGTTTAGAAGGAACGTGAGGCCTTGCTTATTTTGGTGAATAGCTACTGACATAGTTTGTATTGCTGATTCCAGTTTGTCCACTATCAAGGCTATGCTAATTATTACTTGTTTGTCTTTTAAAACAGCTTGTATTTGCATCAGGGACAAGCTATAGTTAAACTCATCATTAATTCTCAGTTGTTGGATAAATACAAGCCGACTCACTGAGTATAACTCGTTTAAATTTTATTAGCAAATATGTCTAATAATCTAATAATGAATATCAACCAGAATGTTCTGTTCTTTTCCAGGTGGCTCTAGATTTGTGGGAAGACCTAAGAATTTGTAAAGAAGGTCAGAAAGAGTGGCTTATTAAAAAAATAAACGAGTCCCAGTTTATCATCATTGTGTGTTCCAAGGGAATGAAATACTTCATTGAAAAAAAGAACTGGAAACACAGAGGGGTGACAAAAGATGCAGGAAAAGGAGAACTCTTTCTGTTTGCTGTGCTGACGGTTGCAGAGAAGCTTCGTCAAGCAAAGCAGAATTCAAATGACCTCTGCAAGTTCATTGCGGTCTACTTTGATTACTCCTGTGAAGGAGACATCCCTGGTATTCTGGATCTAAGTACAAAATACAAACTCATGGACAACCTCCCTCAGCTGTATTCACATTTACACTCCAGAGATCCCAGTGTACAGGATTCAGAGGTGCTTCCTGTTAACATTAGTAAAAGGAATTATTTCAGGAGCAAATCTGGGAGGTCCCTTTATGTTGCCATTTGCAATATGCATCAGTTTATTGATCAGGAACCAGACTGGTTTGAGAAACAATTTATTCCCTTCCCTCCACCTTCTTTACGTTACTCAGAGCCTGTCATGGAAAAATTTGATTCGGGCTTGGTTTTAAATGACTTAGTGAGCAAACAGGTGATGGATGGCGATTTTTACCTGAAAACAGATGTAAATATTACCTCAGCGGGGAATTCAGACTCTCACTGTATAATTCAGCACTTAAACCTTGGAGAAGATATAGAAACTCAGGACATTCAAGGCGGTGGCAGCTCTGTTCTTCAGCCATTGCTACATGTTGTTAAAGCTTCAAATCTTAAAGATATGCCTCGAGATTCTGGAATCTATGATTCATCTGTTCCTTCATCTGAATTATCTTTACCTTTAATGGAAGGACTATTGACAGACCAAATTGAAACATCTTCCATTACAGAAAGTGTTTCTTCATCATCAGGTTTAGGTAAGATACAGCAGTGTTTCAAAAATTATATTCAGGTATTGTGAGCCCATTTCTGCCATCTCAAAATATTTAAGATAATACGTGAGGAGTCATATAGAAGGCTGCAGAGAAAGATAAGCATTGTATAAAGATGGTAAAAAAGATAGGTTTCAGTAACTTTAGAAAAATGAATCTTTTCCTTAACTTATTGCAGGGGGGATTCTTAGCTAAGTAAGATTTCACTAAAATTCTATTAAGTCACATCTCATTAATTGACCTGTTATTGGAGAGACTGCTTCTTTCTTCCAGGGACTCCTTGGCAGCTGGGATACTCCGCGGACAGCTGTGTGGTTTAATCAAGAGGGTGATACGGTGAAGCATTCTTACAGAAGGGCCATAAATCTAAACCTGACCTCCTGTTTTGCTCCAGCACACACTAGAACCTTTAGGGATATAGCCTGTGCTGTGGTTAACTCAAGTTTCAGAATGACATTAGGCTTCTCATCGGATACGGGGCTGGGGGGAATGAACAAACGGGTTTCAGTGGAGGAATTTAAATGCTCGGAAGACACTCTCCAAAACAGATACCCAGCTTAGATGCCTACAGTTAGGAAGTGTAAATATTGCCTCAGGCTATATAAAAAGCTGATCTGACCTTACTAGTTACAGTACATTGAACTGGCATCACAACTACATCCGTGTGGAATGTTCCAGCAATTGTATTCGTAGGATAAAATTGCTGTTTGGGATTTTCCTTAAGCAGCTACAACAGGTGAATATTGCATTTTGATAGTGGTATGCTGTTCCGCTTTCTTGAATGAGTGTTGACAGTGAGCTAGTTTGTTAGACTTTTTTCTTGGCTACATGGATTTTTTTTTATTATTATTATTCAGATAATTCATAACTAAGGTTTGATGCCAGAATTATCTTGGGGGAGGGAGAATATAGATGTTGATTTGCAGACACACCACCGGTATCTATAGGCTAGATAGACTATAGGACAAAATAACTAAAACCTGAAAACTTTTCAGGTGGAAAAAATACAGATTTACTGATTTAATTACATAAGCCACAAATACTGTTATTGTTTCAGAATTAATATTATATTCTTTAATTTCCTGCCATCTTCTAACATAGCCTTGTCTCACATTTGTGGGAAGAATTACAGATGATGCCTGTAACGGTTCTAGCGCTGGATGAAAGTAGGATGCTAGTTTAAAATTCATGGCCTCTCTGTAAGAATGCTGTACCAGTATTCCCCTCCTGATTCAATCGCAGAACTGCCAGCTGGGTATCCCAGCTGCCGCGGAGGCGCCGGAAGAAAGAGGCAGTCTTTCCAGTAATTAATTTTCAAGTCACATACCTACTTGTTAACATGTGTCAGCTGTAGAGGTTAAACATTAGAGCCCTAGCTGCTAGGGTTGGATCTTAGCACCGGTGTCCCAACACCTTAAGAAGCCACAATAACTTCTGCCATTTTCCCGTTCGCTGTCCCTGCCCAAAGGCACCACCCTGACCGAGTCTCGCTCACACCTCCCCTGACCCAAGCCGCGGTCCTGCTGAGGTACGGGGTACAAAGGAGACGGTGCCTGGAACTGAGCATCACCTGCCTATTAGAGAGCAACCCATTACATCTTTTTGCTGTCCCAGACATACAGAATACTTATAGCCCTAATATTTATATGCCTAATAATGAGAGGAATAGATAGAATTTTTTAGCTTTTATTCTTGTTCTAAGAGTTGGACATGTCCAAATTATCACTCTGAATTCACAGTACCGTTTCTGTTCTGGCTACCTGTTTTTTTATCCATTAATTGGTCAGAACAGAAGTGAATAGTGCTGACACTTAACATCTCAAGGTAGATCTCTCCTTTCTTCTTTAAAGGACAGTTTGATTTAATCTTGTGAATTAAAATCATAAGTCACATAACTTGTAATACTTTCTATCTTTCAGTGCAGTTCATGTGCAGACTACTGATCTGCAAAGAAAAGATTCTCAAAGAGATCATATTGGGCATCATCAACTGAAGTTCAAACCAGTTTAATTTTAAGGAAGTACCAACAACCAAACCTTTACTAGGTCCATTCGCCAATATGTCTTCTCTAAGAAGCCCTGCCTGGGGAGAAAATTCACATTAATTCTTTAGATAAGGGGTTGCTGAGCATGGTAGTTCAGCCTCATTATGTATGGCATTATGAGGCAGAGGGTTTTTATAGGTTTTTATAGGTTTTCTTTGCATTGTTTCTAAAATGTTGACCAAATACAAAATCAATGTTTCAATTAATGAACCTCATTTTTTTTTTTCCTTTTATAGGGGAAGAAGAACCTCCTGTAATCACTGCCACGAAATTCTTAGTGCCTGGAATATGTAAAGCAGAACTTCATTGCCATATCCATACTGACGAACTGCAGGCAATTGCTCCTTTATAATACGTTACAACATTGTTATGCATTGCCACTTTATCAACAGCCTCTGTTTGTGCTTTAACTACCACGCGGTCTCAGCACTACATCTACTTGAAGGAACAAATACTCCCTGAAGAAAATCTGTTATTCCTAAGGGATTTTTTTATGGCCAGTAAAGTTGAATCTGTTGGTCTTCATATGAAGTCTTCCATGAGTTGAAAAAAATGCAGCATGGAAAAACAGATGAGAATACATTTCAGAATTGTTCCTATTGCTAATGTAAATGTCATGATATTACACTGTTTACAGATGCCATAATCAAAATTGACCTTTTTTTTGCTAGAAATAATCTTGCAACTGGACATAAAATAGCTTGGAACATTAAGTCTTAGTAAATTTCGTAGTCCAGCCTCTAGTTTTAAGTGCTGACATACTTGACGGCAGGAGCGTTCTAGTGAATGAGAGCAGGATTTTTTTCAGAAGCAAGATAAAATGCTGAAGGTGAGATCAAGAAATTCTCCATCAGAAGAAATAATTTTCTTTTAGACATGTTTGAGCTCCTTTCCTCACAGTCTTCTCTCTTTCCCGAATGTTAATGTGTCTCAGTATTTAATTTCAGATAAGCACGTCTCCCTCTTCTGTATGATTCTCCTATCTCTTCTGCACAACCTGGCTCTGATGACTCACAAATAGTACCATACTGAGTCTGAAGTATCATTTTTATAACAGACAAAAATACAGATCCTGGATACGCCGAGTGATACCATGGAAACAAAGTTTCCTCTTTTCTTCCTGGAAGGGCTAATATAAGGAATGCTGTAAAGAGCTATGGGGGAAGGAAGACCAAATTTTGTATTTAAGACATCATTCTGGATTTGTTCAGCCATGAGATGAGTATGCTTTATGGGGGATTTCATATTATCCTTCAAGGACATGCTGCTACAAAATCACCTGGGGTAGAACAGGTTAAGACAAGCGGTTAACAGGCATGAATATTTTGCTTTGTTTTGAGCCAACCAGTAAACAGAAGTTATTTTGCAGTTCACACTACTTGTCATTACTTAGTGATTAGGATAGTCTAATATTACTACTGTTATATTAACAAAAAATGCTACGACTACAACTGGACGCGTTTATCTGAAGACACAGAGCATGCATCTCCTTTCTTCTGCGGTGACCAGGTAGGTATACCATCATCCACAATATCCCTGCTGTTTCCAAAGAGCAACTTTCCATAAGTAAAACCCACCCATCTTTGTAACTGCAATTCTAGGCACTGTGTAATAAGGATGGTAACAGCAAACAGTAAAGGACAGCTTTATCAATGTGCCTTTGCTAATTTTGCTCATGGAGTCAGATTCTGTCTTGTTTAACCTGTCTTCGCATTCCACTAACAGGAGGTTACTTCAGGAGTACATCAAGGGAGAGCTCAAACACCTCAGTTATTCTCTCAATTTTGATAGATGAGAATTAGGCATTGCTAACTGTTACATTGTATTACCCATTTTAATAGCATGAGATAGAACTATTAAACAAGTGATGGTTTTGGCTGAGTAGCTTTAAAGCTCTTTTTTTTGTGTGTGTGTGTTGGTTTATATTTAATAATTTGAATGTCCAGATAAAAGACTCTTGAAATTGTTGTCACAGATGGAGTAAGAAAGTGCTGTAACAATTACTTGAACATAACCATTGATGGAGGAACTCCAGCGTGCTTTGCAGTTGTAATATGGAATTCTGTGATCAACTAGATGTATGTGTAAGATTTGGAGGGCCCTGTCCATTACTGTAATGTTCCTTACTCCTCCTGTTTTCTGAATTTGAAAGAACACTAACTGGAAAACCTCAAACTCACAATACCTAAGCAAGTGTAGGTAGTTTTATGTACACCGTGATTCATCTGCACCTTCAAGGATATATATATATTTTTTTTTTAATGCTGTGCCTTGGGCTGTACTGAAAGCAAAATTCTTTGTGTTTTCCTGTTCTTTGAAGTTGAAAAATACCTGGGTCAAACTAGGCAGAATAATGTCGAGGTGAATGCTCCTCCACTAAATCCAGCTATGAAGGATCTTGATTCAGTGCAATTCTTGCCATTTTGCTAGAGAAAGAGTTTGGCTTGATAAGACACAGGCAGAAAGGTTACGAAATTTGTGTGCTGAAGAGCTGCCGTGCATAGAAATGCCAAAGCTGCAAAACAGGAGGAGGAGGCAATTTCTTAGCAATTAGCTGGTGCAGGTAATGCTGCTTTCCCCCATGGACAGTGCCAGCTCTCATACTGTTACCTGCGCTAGACTAAAGATTGGGGAGATCATCTGGTTCTGTTCAATTCACTAGCAGAATTGGTGCTACTTAATGGAGTTAGGTTTTCATTGTGAGCTCTAAGGCGGCTCAGTTTCGAAAACGGATGAAGGCAGTTGCACAAAGAATCACTTGTCATTAATGTTTTTATTTTTATTTCTTCAAAATTTGCTGTACAATCCTGCAATCTTATTTTATCAAGTATAAGGTCTATGCAGATGCCAGTTAAAGGGGGGGGGTGGAAACAGCATATTATATGTCCTTAGAAGAAAGAGAATATAATTAATTGAAAATTTAGAGTAGGACAGACCACACTTAAAATACACAAAACTGAGAGAAGTAATACTTAATCTGAATTAGCATAGTTTTTTTACAAAGCCACAGTGCTTTAAAAAATTAGAAAAATACTGTGTATCTTGAGATGCTGGAAGGACATAGTACTGAATTCTGTATTTTCCCTCCAATGAGAATAAGAGCAAAAATCCTCGTAAAAAAAATTTTTTTAAAACAAATATGTTAACACACATATTAGAGGTTAGCTTACTACTACTATTTCAAGCATTAGTAAACTCTAAACAGAATGTTAATGGTGAAAGGATCCCTTGAATTTCTACTAGACTCACGTGTGTGGACATTGTTTGGATGTTTTAAAATGTGTTTTCTGGGAGGGTGGAAGAAACATTGGAAAGCTGAAGGTTCAAGATACGGAAGTGTGTTCAACATTTTGAATGATAAGTATAGTTGTTGCCATCATTTGTACCTGTACATAAACACATCAACTGTTGAAAATAGAACGCAGCTGACATTTGCAGAAAAAAAATTTTTATGATACTATAATTTAGAAGTTAAATACCAAAATAAACCATTTTTGTTCAGTTTCTTTCATGGGGCTTTTCTTAGTATAAGATGACTTGGCTTAAGAGTGCAGTTGTTTTATCCAGAACACTTCTAATGCAGTTAGGCACACACCACAAATAAGCAGACTCTCTAACTACATCTGGAAGGGAAACAGATATTTTGATGGGTGTTTAATATAGTCAAGCAACTGTAAGAAACTTCAATTCTCTAAAAATTCTGTATTGGACAGACTGGGTCTTTTTTTTTAATAAAACTGCTTTAATATGATTTTATGTAATTATTTTTCCTATATCCTCCTTGAAGGTCTCCTAGCAGTACATGGTTCTGCATGTCAAGTGAAACCTATCCACACCAACTACAAAACTATAATAACCTGGATTAATTCTGTCAAAGAAGATGTGATAATTACCTAAGATTTATATGCTTTTTGTTTTCATCCAAGTGGATTTCAAAGTCCTGTTCCAGTCAATGAACCCTGCAAACTCTAATTTCAGGGGTAAGCCTTGAAACCACTCGTATTCCTTATGTTGCTCAGGTAAATGAAGGTTTTTATAATGGACTTTCGGTCTGGCACAATCAAAGTTAGAATGCTGCAGAAAAATCTGTAACGAGTCTGTAAAACTTGTTATCATTGAAGACTTGAACTGCTTACTTAATACCAGGTAGTTTGCGTACACATTAGCTATGTTGAATTTACAGGATGATGTTTATAATGTTTATACCTGGTGTCTTCCTTGGGCCTGTCCCATAGTTCCTAATTCTGCTTCTATCACCAGGTAAATCAGAGACATTGAAGGGTCACTAAGCATGTGAACAGTTGCATTAGTAATTCGAAAGAGAATTTGATAAGGTACTCCTCTGTATCTGAACTGGACTTCTTTGAGATGTGTTATCCATATGTGTATCCTGCAGTCCTAATCTCTGTATCCTCTGCCTTGGAGCTCTGTACACAAGGGACTTTGTAGTTGAAAGAAAATGGAAAGGTGTTGCTTTAGTTTTTACACCTTCCGTTTAAAACGTGAGAACCCTCAGGATGCTTTCCTGACATTTGGGAACTGTTGGCCAAAGTTCTTACACCCTGAGGATGTGGAAAGATATGCCTCGATATGAGGATGTGCACATAGGTGATATATCTTGAAAAACTTCAGGAAGTAAGCTCGCATTTTTCTTTTTTTATCTTGCATTTAAATATTGTGGTGACTTGATACTGAAATCCCCCACAAGAAAAAAAACCCACACAACAACAAACACTCTTTGAGTTACAGTGAAAAACGTGTGCTGCACACAATACGTGCATTCAAACTATAACTGGTCAGACCCGTATTATTTCTGAAAGGTCAGAAATTAATGGCTGCGCTATGGATCAGCTGAAGGAATTTTTCTTTCTATCTGCTATAAATTATTTTCTTTTACTTGCTATCATCTGTTGCTGTTTCTCAGTCATAAAAAACAGAACAGTGGTCAATTTATATTTTATAACAGGATACAATTTCCTTCTTTATTCTGCTAGAACTGATTTAATAAAGTCTGATTTACCTATGATGTTCATTTTTATGGGCAGCTCCACTGTTGACAATGATTTCATATTTATAGCAGTCCATGGCAAAAGTAGAGATTGGTCATATTGTCCTGTCCACAAAAAGCAGAGGAAAAGGACATCTTCTTTCCTCGGTGTCAGATGTCCCCTGGATGACCAGAAACTGGAGTGCCTGCCCATACCTACCTCAATGCTAAAAGCTCAGTGCTTAGTGGATTTGGTATTGTACTCCAGTGCAGATACTTTGGGAAGGCTGGGAGTTTGAAAATAATGTGAAAGATGCAGAGGGGGGGGGGGGGGGGGGGGGCGGGGAATTTAGTTATATATAGTTAGATATAATAGTTTATAATAAATAGTCATAATAGTTATAATAGTAAACATCAGTGCAAGAAGAAATTAACATCTGGAGAATTTTCTTCATCAATTAATAAGCAGACTTCATTTTTAGTGGACAGGGAGCAGTAACATTTAAGGCTGATTTACCACAGAAATCACCCTACCTTTTTCCCGGACTCTGCTGGTAGGTTCACAGGCCTTGACACTAGATGGGAGGCTGAAGTGGCATGAGCGCGCGTATGGAATGCGTCCTGTTGGGCTGCTGAGGTAGCTGGAATTCTAACTATTCAGTTGCTACTGGTGTGCA